GTATTTATAATATGGCCTAAAGGTGTTAAAAGTACAGTAGTTTGAAATGCACATTAAAATATGGAAACGCTCTAAGTGACTCAAAAGTGTAACAGCATGTGCCTTCCACTGTTGGAAGCGGAGCGTCATTGGTGTCGTCCATAAAAACACCTGTTTTAATGAAAATCTTCGAATAGTCGTTATCGGAGCTTGCAGCAGTGCTTTGGGTGTCTTACCTTTGAGGTCTCCCACCCCATCCCCGTCGGAGTCTTTGAAGGACCGGGGGTAAATCTGGTACACCGGGGAGGCCTGCCACCAGCTCAGGCACTTCGGAGAAAGCGCGATCACCGCGATGGTGACCGCCACCAGAGCCAGGGTGCAGCACACCGTTAGCCAGAACAGGATCTCTCGGGGCACTCGGTACCGGGCTTTAGAAGAGTACAGCACCAGCACCTCCTTAGGCATCCCGGCGTACGGTTTGATCTGCGTGTACTCATCTCGCGCGTCTGAGAGCCGCTTCACGCCGATGGAGTCCCGCTTCTCCTCGCTGTCGGAGACGCTGATGTTGTCCCTCGCTGCTGGCCCGTCTCCGTCTGCATCCTTATAACCCGGGTTTCTGGTGCACTCCCCGAGCTCCACGCTGTCGGAGTCGTTTCTATAACTCATGTTGTTTGTTAAAACGAACCGTGTCGGGTTGTGTAGCTCGCCTCAAGAACAATGAGTGACTCGGAGAGCGCACATTAAATAAATGACTACAGTCAGAGGGTCATAGTACACGGAGTAGAGCCTGTCTCTGACACACCTGTGGAATGTGGGAAAGTGGAGCGTTGATGGGACTGGTTACAGATTAGCGGTTTTTTTTTCAGTACACAGTATTAATTACGAGACACGAGACATCAGTTACTTCCGAACCAAACAAAAGCACCAAGGTGCAAGATGCCTTTTAATATTGTAGGCGATAAAGATGCAGCTGAACTAAATGCGTTTCCTATTTTGGGATTTGTGAACTTTAACACCAACATTAAAATACAGAAGATATTTCAAAACCCCAAGAGCTACTCCATTTCTTTGATTTTTAGAAAACGCATCACAACGTGTTGATTAACATTTCCTTTCACAGCTCACAGATCCTAAACTGAAAAAATATACATAAAATACAACCTAAATCAAGGGTGTCCAACTTAAAGTTCTGGGGCCAAAATTGGACAGACACAGTCTCCAATCCAGCCCATTAGACTTTGTTCTCACAAATCTTAAAGTGTATATTTGGTGTGATCACCTTTATTTATTTTTAACACAGCCTCTCGTAGGTAAGCATTTTTGTAATTTTTTAAGAAGTCTTTAGGAATGGTTGACCAGGCTTCTTAAAGAACGTTTCAAAGCTCTTCTTTGGATGTTGGCTGCCTTTTCTAGAGTTCCTTATCAAGATGATCCCACATTGTTTCAGTAATGTTGAGGTTCAGCCTCTGGTGAGGCCAATCCATGACTCATAGTGTTACATTATTTTCCTTACCCAGGTATGCTTTAACTGTACTAGCAGTGTGTTTTTGGTGACCTCTAACCCCTGAGAGGTCACCAAATCTCCCCTGAGATTAAAGATCAAACTGAAAACCTTTGGAACTGGTCTCAGTTCCTACAAGTTAATGAACTGTTGTCAAGAGAAGAAGGGATGCTAAAAATGTCTAAACATTTCAGGGACTTTTTTTAATGCTACATTTTTTCACTTTAAGCATTTGTTTTCTATTTTTCCTTGTGAAGAAAATACATGGGTTTAAGATTTACAAATGATAGAATTCCTTTTTAATTTGCACTTTACAGTATCACAGATTTCTAGGAATCAATCTTGTATTATTCTTGCCACTGATTTACCATCTTGTGACTTATGATAAATTACAAAAAAAGAACCCTTGACACATTTGTGTGCCTGTGTCAGTCTTTCAATCTTAATGTTACAGTTACTGCTCTCTTTTCTGACCTATATGTTAACTTATTCTTGTACAGAACTTCTACTTGTATATAAAGAGTGACCAGAAACACATGTCTATGCTAAAAAGCCCACAGGGAATGCAAACCTTCAACCCGGCCCAAAAATAACTGACAGGTTCAGGAGACCAAATGCTTGTAAAATTCTCTTTACTCAACAGAACGTTAAATCATAGCAACAAGTCAGAGTCAAATTATCCAGGCATTGCCAAACTTTCAAAAACTCCTTTATCTTATGTCTTCCCACATAAGTTCTGACATTATATTCCACAATCAGAATAATGATCAAGTATATATTTTATTTTATTTTAAACAAAGGAAGCCAAGGTAGCTTGTTCTGCCATTAAATGACCGATGAGGAGAGAATGTGAACCTGCAGTGCTGCTTGTATTCCGTCCATGCAGTGGAATCAGTGTGACTAATGAAGAATTACATTCAGAAAAATAAATGTTTCTCTGTCCTTCCCTCCCTTAAATTCTCTCCAAGCCCAGTGTCTGATATAGCTTAAACAAAAACCTTAACTGAAGACCATGTTCAGTGTGGTAAAAGCTTGCACAATGTTAAAAAGTATGCGAATCTGAGATATGACGGGAAACATGCGGTTTGGGGGGTTTAAAGTAAGGGAAATCTAATTTGTACGTTAAGTACCTAAAAGTGAATTAATATTCTCATTTGTGCTCCAGTTCATCTACAGGTTGTTCCTCTATCACTGCCTTTCCTCTCCAACATTGTGTTCCACCACACTGAACATTGTCCACATTATCACCCACCCGCCCACCCAGTGCATATCACACGCAAATTACACTCCTTCCTCAATCACAAAACATGCACCAATAGGAGATACCACCCCTCCCACTCCCTCCACCACAAAGAAAAGTTATACCATTGCATTAAAACAACTGTAACTGCAAAAGAACTACACATTCAAGTACCTATTTGTCATATGGCACCAAGAGCAAGTGTACCACAATAACATTAACCAGCCAGCAATCTCTGTTAGGTCTATTCTCTTCCAATACTGCCACTTCAGAAAGCACATTACATTTGCCATTAAATGATTGAATATATATACCTGTATGTTACAGGTTTGTATTTATAGCATATTTTAACCTCATCTAAATACTACACACACACATAGACAATGCATGTGTGTGCACACTGTAAAAGACTTGAGTTTTTTTCCTGACAAATATCCATCTCTAAAGCTTCCATCACTTTTTTAGTGCTTAGGTTAACACAAAAGACTCCTGGTAAACTCAAACCCAACCTAAATCAGTAACTGCCCTGTGCCTTCAAGGTAAAGTCATTGAAGGTGGTTGTGGGGAAAGAGGGGAAAAAAGAAAAAGAACACCAATTCAGTGACTGCGAATTTAACTCTCAGTGTAGAACCCCTCCTCTTCAGCCTACAGTGTCCCTCCTTCAACTTCATACAGTGAATAGCCGAAACCAAAGTCTCCCAATATGTTGTCAAAGGTATGTTTCAGGTTCCTCGTGTTGTTTTCTTTATCCATTTGTAACACGACCACAGCAATAGTAATTTAAAAAAAAAAAAAAAAAAAAAAGTATACCAAAAGAAAAAAGAAAGCATATTTTTAAGTAAATAAATGTTTACAATCTAAACTCCAAAAAAAAAGGTATTTTTGTTTTTTTTTTTTTTTTTTTTTAATACACACACACACACACACACAGAGGATATCAGAGAGATAGAAAAAGGCAAGCTGTAGCATGAGCAGGATTGTGTGTGCGCATGTGTTAAGGATGAGCGGGCGGTTGGAATTCCTTTACCCCAAACCCTGTCTTTGGAACGCTGCTGTGTGGGAACGGTGCGTGCAGCATCATGGGTTGGGCTATTGGGTGGGGGTGTTTCTCCCCCCCCCCCTTCTTTTTTTCCCCAGATTAGGCCGCAATGAATACCATGGCTGGGAATTTAAGGGACAACAAACAAATCAAAATATTTCTGTCTATATAGATATCTCCCTATATATATTTTTTATATTTATGAATTTCATATACAGTTTCTATCTTTCTATAATATCTTCAACAACAGCAGGCTCAAAAGCTTATGATTCTGGCATTGTCTGCAAATGCAAAATGAGAGCTGAGTCTCTTCTGCCTCATGACGCAGCAGAGAAACTGAAGTTAAAACAACAAAAAATTTAAAAAATAAGGCAGACAGAAGGGAAGCGTGACAAATCAAGTGACAAGATCCTGAAAGAGATGAGCAGACAGAAAGTAAGCAGACATGCAAGAGAGTCGCTATCACGCTCAAGTTTAATGTAGTTGCAGCTGGGCAAACCAGTCCACGTTCCATTTAAGTCTGGACATAATATCCAGGAGTCAAACTGGGATTTGGTGCCAGAAAGTCTCTCACATAAGTGCTCCCCTTATCGTCAGGTGTGGATTCTCAGGCTTTCAGACCCTGAATTTGAGGGTTTAACCTCAAGGTCTTTGGATAGTGATTCATTTAGTTATTTTTATTACATTTCTGTGAGTTCTGTAAGATGATCTCCAGTGAGCCATGTCCATTAATAAGTGAAGAGTTGGCTCCTGTTTGTGTACCAGTAACGCCCAGATCCTGAACTGGACAGTATAGCTTAAGGTGTGTAGTTGAGTTGCAGGCTTGTGTGGTCGATCAACTCCCCGTCAGGTGCAAGAAAAAGTTCACACTTCCAAACAAATAATGCCACAAACCACTTTAAGCCTTCTCAGTGTTTACAATGAATCCACAAGTGGTTGGTTTTGGTCGTGGCTGGCTGGCGAGTTATGAGGTCCTCCTTTCTCTCCCTCCCTCCCTCTCTCTCTGGTCTAAGCAAGGCACCACAGAACCCTAAAAGATTCAGACCTGTGACCTCTGTCTCTGCAAATCCACAAAAAAAAAAAAGAAAAGAAAAAAGAAAACAAGGGGCAAGAGAAACTGTGCTTGTTGGCCTCTCCTCCTCGCTGTGTTTATATTGTAGATGTAGTTCTGGAGTCGGAACATGAACGCAGTGCCCCCCATAGTTTGTCTATTTAAAAAATTAAAAAAAAGGAACAAGAACATTTTTGCAGTCCTCCACATTAGGTGTTTTTAAAACCAAGATTTCAGCTTCAGTTATTCTCAGTGTGGGGGGGAATGAATTACAGAAAAAATTAAAAGGTGACAATGAATGTAATCTCATGTGGAATAGTGGTCCTGTATTTTCGATCAGGCAGTTGTGCTGGACAGCTACCAGTGGTACTCCAATTCCGCTCCACTCTGCAAAAGGAAAAGAGGGAGAGGAGAAAACAGGGAAGCAAAGGAGAGTAAAATAGAGGAAGAAGAAATAAGAGAAAAGCCAGGAAACAAAGGAAGGAGAGAAGGGTGGGGAGAAAAAAAAAAGAGACTTTTTATAAAAAGAAAAAAAAAAACCTAAACAAAACATTTTAAAAGTAAAACTCAAGGATTTATTCCCCCAAACCCAGACTTGAAGGTCAGTTTTCCTTATGACCAACACAACTCAACAAAGAAACAACACAATATATTTACAATGCTGTTACAACAGCAGCGTGAGGCAGTAAACGTTTTCAACCTCAGTCTCCGGAGTCTTTCTTTAACATATTCCAACAAAACAACTCCAAGGCCTTCCGTCTTATTTCGAGGAGGGACACAGAAACACAGACTGTTGTATAGTTGCGTGCAGCTGCTGAAAGACTGAGTGAGACAGCGATGCATGCGTGTAGGAACAGTGCATGCGTGTTTGTATGCCTGTGACGTGAGAGGGGGGGACGGACAGGACTAGAAACACCTTTATCATTCATCCTCATCAGACCTCGACAATCATGTCTACAGACGTCCACATGAACACGCCTTAAACTCTTAAATGGAGCTCCACATGCAGGACAGCAGATCAGAGCAGGGAGTAGAGACAGATGAAGGTGTGACAGGGAGGATTTGTGTAGCAGGTCACCACTTACATGCCTGTAAGAATGTGTGTTTGTACACATGTGTGCATGTGTGGTTGTATGCATGTGTGTAGATGAGGGGTTGGAAAAGGGGGAGGTGGGGGTGTAACAGTTATATATGTGATCACTTACCAAATGAAACAGGAGGGCTGCGTTAATCAGAGGGTGAACACACAGTTAGACAATAGATACATCCCTTGTCAATGTGTATGTGACTACAGGTGCGTACCTTACTACACACCATGTGCAAAATATGTTTAAATGAAGGGTGCAACCAGCACTAATTGAGCTACTATGACATGCTTCTTTCTAGCAGCTGTGTAGGACGGCTTAGCCACTTAATGTAGACAAAGAAACCTGCCGAGGTTAAACTAGGATGGCTCTATTTGACAATGTTATGACAAGCAGCCTTGTTTCTTTCTCCTAACACCTAGCAGGTGGTAGCACTCAAAACTTTTTGTTACAGTGTACAGTCACACACAGAACCTACCCACTGTGGTTTTAAGGGGGCGCCAATATCCGTTTCATGTGTGCATTTATTTTCCATGATTATGTGTACACAAAGCAAACAATCACAGTACCTCTAACTCATTACAGAAAATCCAAGACAACACAATGAGGCAAATATCACATCCAGCTAACAGGACACACACACCCACACCACACAAGACCCCTTATATGCAGGTAGAGCTCTTTAAGGACACTGCAGTGCTTATCATTCTAAACAATACGATAGTGGCCTCAATCTCAGTGTGAGATTCTCTCACAGACACAAAATTTGTCAATCCTTTATAAACATTTACAAGTTCACACATGCAATACTGTAAGCCATTTACTGCAACAGGGGTCTCAAACATAAGGCCCAGGGGCCAAAATTGCACAGACAGACTCCAATCCGGCCCACTGGACGGCTATGATAAATGTGAAGGAAGACATAAATTTTGGACTTTTAACTATATTTTCATAAATTTAACAGACCCCCCCCCCCAATATGGCCATTCGTACTATACCAAAAGTAATTAAGTGGCAAGTAAATAGTGAAAACAATCAAACATTTCTCTCTTTTTAAAATAAAATAAATGGGTCCACAAAAAAAGAAAAAGAAATCAGTTAATTGTGCAGTTAACTTCTTTATGTAGCCCCTTTTTTCATGTCGTGATTGTCAAAGAACATGTTTGTGTGAAACATGCAGGCAGGTAACAACAGCTGCAAAATCAAAGATTTAAAATTCTGTATTTTCCATCTCTGTAGAAAACACAGAACCCTTGGACAAAACTTGTTGGAGTGCAAACATTTCATAAGCACTCAAACAGTTTACCTCAATAATAATAATAATAATAGAAATAGAGAAACAGGCCTATATTTGAAAGAGGACAACAATAATAATACTGTTTATATAAACTGATTGTTTTTCCTACTCTATGGTTATAATGAGCTTATGTGTTGTAACCTGCAAATAGAAATGCAGGTTAAAAGCCTGGCTCAACAAGTGCCTTGGCACCCTCAGTCAATAACACACTATCCATTACCTCAAAGAACACGAAGCTACATCAATAGTTAGAAAAGAACACCAGGACATTTTTTAAACTTTCCAATAAACATTAGTGAAAAGCTTATTTATGCAATACACCTCAAGTGAACTGGACCCATTATGTTCATTTCAGCTTTGCATGGTTCACAGTTCAAAACAATCTTTATTTTTCTTACACTGGTGCTTCATACAGCCCCTCAGTTTATTTAGGGTATGAAAATAGCCATCTTAGCTACCATCCCCTGTCAGAATTCCACAAACAGAATCTAAATCAGTCACCAAGTTTAGTCAATAACTTGAACAGCCTGTGTATGCTGCTGGTGCCTTTATTATCTGACAAATAACACAGCTTGTGTAATACAACCCGTGTGTTTGTCCTTCAGTGTTGTTTACTCATACCCTAGTATTTTATTAGTCTACTATTTAGCACTAATTAGCAGTAGAGTGTGTATTGCACCAGTGCAGTCTACAAACTGTCAACTAAGTTTGCCAGTTGCTAGCTTAGTACACACCCTTATTGTCCAAATAAGGTCACTTCTGCCTCCAACACCAAAGTTGTGGTAGCCAAAATGCTTACACTGAAGTATTTAAAATGCAAAGTTTGAAACTAAAATATCCATTGCTATCTTTCATATACAGTCTATGGTTGTAGAAAAGAAAAAATAAATAAAAAAAAAATAAAAATCAATCACAGTAACAAAGGGTGTCTGTCTTTACTGGCAAATAAAAATAAGTCATTACTTTCCTTGGGACATAATTTTGGATTCCATCTTTTATTCACATGCTGTATAAAACAGTGTCTACATGTGTCAACGGCGAATATGAGGACACAAATTTTAAAATGCTGACTAAAGTGGAAAACGTCTGCCAGTAGCAAAAGCAGAAGGTAATGTAATGAGTTAAACAGCAATGTCAAAGTCACTGCACAGTATCTCCTGTCACTTACAACCACTACAACATTTGAAAACCAGGCTTACAGGGGAAACCCTTTTATTAAACATTAAACTTGAACGCTTTAAATGGTGGATGTTCTTCTCTTCTATTTGCTGTTAGTATTTGCCTTTATCTGCTGTTATTTTATTGTAGATTTACTACCTCATTCAGTATGTGAATGGGTGTCAGTATGAGAGCGTGAATGCCTGTGTTCTTATTGGCAAATTTAAAAAATTTGCAACATCTACCATTCAGCAGCAAAGTAAATTTAGAAGCGTACATATCACATTCTCATGCTCAAACATGGGAAAACTTCTCATACCAGTGTCAGATAACAGATAACTAACTAACTTAAAAGCCTAAATAAAGTGTCTTCATACACTTTGGTGTTAGGATAAAGAAAGCTCCAAGCAGAGGAGGCAAATAAAATAAACCATTAAAAAGAGCCTATTTGAAGCAGATAACCTGAAAATGAATGTCTTCACTTGCAACTTCATAGTTCCACTCAAACATTTCCTGACAAAGCTGTATCATCTTGCACCATGCGTAGAGAAAAACAGCATTTAACATAACTGAAAGGGGATGGGCTCAAAGCCACATCTTAAGTCAGTAATTTTATACTTTGTTTATAAATCACCAGCTTAGGCCACCACATGAGATGAATCAACATAAGATTAACAAAAGAAGATCTCCCACTGGTATTTCATGGGAATATGCTACACAGAGCGTACACACATACTCTGTGACTACATAATTAGCTGATCAACTGTTAATTTAAATGTACAACTACAGCCAACTAAGTGCACTTAAAGTCATACGTTAAAGAAATTTGAGACATAAGACAGATGAAATCTCAAATTTGCCATGTGCCCTCAACATTTTTAGTATTTTATGTCTAAATGGTCAAAGACAAAGCACCTACATTTCTATATACTGATACTTACTCCATCCTCCTCCCTGTATGGGTTCAGACGGTTGTATACTGCTTCAATAACACTGCGTCTGCAAGTGGAACACAGAAACCAAAAATTTCATAAGGTATTGGTTGGAGCCATCAATCAAAGCTACAAGACAGTGGAAGACTAAGTGGAGTAAAGGTGTAGCTGTTAAAAATAAATCAAATTGTAACATTTCTGTAATTATCACTGTCTGAGCACATAATGAAGTATTACAGATGTTTAACACTTTCATATTTTAATCATACATTTTAATAAATGTCAAATAGTGCTTACTTGCTGGCAAGACCACCCCCTGGTGGCAGAGGGGGCATGCCGCTGTCAGTGGACAGGTTTCTCATCACCGTTACCAGATCCGGAAACCCCTCCTCCCCTGGCCGAGACAGCATCTCTAAAACAGCAGCAGACATGTTGTTACACAAATCGGTATTAAAAGAGCTGATGATAGCCATGAACATCTGTGCAAAGACAGAGGAGGGAGAGCAGAGCAGCAGAAGGACAGAGACCAAAATTTGACAAATGAGGAGAAAGGAAGTGAAGATGGAAAACATACAAGTCAATTTGTGGAAGCCAGTGTATTTCTGAGACGAGGAGAGGGAGAAAGATGGTGACAGAAAGAGGCCTGCAACTGAGTTGGGAGTGGCATAAGGCCAAGATAATGTTCCGCCAGAGAATTCCTCCCTCTCTGTTTTGTTCTATTCCCTCTCTCCTCTGTCTTCCAGTATTAGACAGTACCCTAAGCCAAGCATCTAGCCTGCTTTACACAAACACTGTTTGAACTTCTGAACTGTACCTTCAAAAGTGGAATGATTTTGACCCATTTTAGAGTGCTTTTCAGCCAACATGAACTTACTTTAACACATAAAATAATTACCGGTACCTGTCTTTTAATCTCAATTTCAGAGTCTTACGGTTCGATTTTAAGGCCTTATTTTTTTATTTTTTTATTTCAAGATGACACTGGTATCAGACAGGTAAAAACAAAAACTTTAAGGATTCATTTTAAGTTATTCCTCAGAGCTAAAATAAATAAATAAATGTATTTCTTAAGTGACCGGCATCTCAAACAGCACATAGCGAACGAAGAGAGCTGACCAGAAAGGCTGCTCTGTATTCAAAGGGTCTTGTGCTCCCAGAGACATAAAAAAAAAAAAATATGGGTTGCAATTAGAAAGAAGAAATGGGCAAAGAGTACAGGAAAGGAGAAGGAAATTCATTCCAACAAGACAGTAAATGTTTGAGTGAAGCAAGGGAGGAGAGGAACGGAGAGAGAATAAAGAGGGGAGATGCTCGCTGAAGTGGAAAAGGAGGTCATGATGGTGTCATTCTTCTGCTGTGAGCCTGAGCAAATTTGGCTGGAGGTTAGACAATAGCAAGTAGCAAGGTCAATCGAGGGAATATACAGATATGATGCACATTTTCAGTAGAAATAAGATGAGTGTAAATATGGGGGGGGGGGAAAAACGTATAAATGAAGGTTATCAATAAATCCCCAGCTGCCCATTTTCTTCCCCTCAATACCCTATTTTATGTGTAGAATTCATTCACACAAAGACAATTAATACATTGAATAAAACATTATTTTTCTCCATTCAGCCACTCTCACCTTCAACTCGAGACTCCAGGTAACTGTTGAGCTCAGTGTCTTTCCTCACAGCTTCCTCCGATACTTTGGGAGCATTGGGCAAACACACTATCACAACACTCATGTTATCCCGACTCCCCTAAAACGGACCAAAGGACAGACGAATAAAGAAAGAGAAGAAAGAGCAGGTTAAGAGAAGATGTTGTATAGCTTGCATTTTTCATAGGGAATAAGTGACTGAATAACCTGCACTGTAACTCAGAGCCAAGTAGAACATGACTGTATCAAAAACATACAGTAAATAAGCAATAAAATGCATTTCCCCCCTCTATCATCTATTGAATTCAAGCAGATAACAGCTGCTGGTCAGGATTAAGGAGTAACCTGCAAGACTTGAAGCCATCTTTCAAGCATTTTGTACTTCAAAGCTCTGTACTTCATTCTTTTCATTTTTACTTTGTCCTGTTTTCAAGACTGCCAAAACAATTTCTCTGTCTCCTTTTTTTAGTAAGGGAAAGTTTACTGAGCCATTAAAGCAGTTACAAATAGCTCTTTTTCAACAAAAAAAAAAACAAAAAAAAAACACATTCTCTAAAACTTTCTTCATCATATAGTGTTCTTCTCTGGCAGGAAATTCAAATGGACATCTTGCTGACAAAATTTTCTACACATGTACGTCTCCATAGGTCAAAAGAAAGCAGAGGATGTCACAGCAAAATATACAAATGATAAACTCCAAAACAAATAAAGTACATACCTTGTGCAGACAGGTATCCACCACTTCATTGCAGACTTTCTCCAGATCATCACAGATCTCAAGCCTCGATTTCACAAACTCGCACAACTCCTCATTGGACATAACGTCCCAGATTCCATCACACGCTAAAATCACAAACTGATCCTGTTCTGGTGCCCGAACCATCACAAACACCTCTGGTTCAGGACTAACCAGCTGCTCTGTGGGACCCTTACCATCCACACACTTGTAATCATAGTCCCCCAAGGCCCTTGATACAGCCAGTGACCCATTAACCCTTTGAATCATCACTGAACCGCCAGCATTCTGGATGCGCTCTCTCTCACGTGGGTTGCAAGGCTTGTGGTCAAGTGTGGAGAAGCACACCTGTGAATTGCGGTAGAGAACTGCTCGAGAATCCCCACAGTTAATGAAGAAGAAATTATCAGGTGACAGAAGAATTCCCACTGCCGTAGAGCCACTGCGGTCCATGCCATTTCGAAGGTCGGAGAAGCTGCGCATGTGCTCATCTATTTTCAGGAAGCCTGTCCGGATGCCGGCTTTCACAGCCTCCACTGCAGGCGGAACTGGTACTGAAGCGTTGGAGCCGTCTGATCCAGACTGAGAGCCTTGTGTGTTTCCAGCCCCTAAGCTAGCGGTGATTATGTGCTCAAGAAGATGCTTGGAGCAGTAATTGGCAACTTTAGAGCCTGCGTGGCCATCGTACACAGCAAAAAAGGACCAGTCAGTCATACCAAGGGCTGGAAGGCCCAACACAGCTGTATGAGCATCCTCCATCTCCACCCGCCAGCCCTGCATGGAGCTTAGCCCATAGCGCAGGCCATTGCCCTCGCCATGTGAGTTGTACTTCTCTGTTTTGGGCTTGTCCAGGAACGCACCCATGGCTCTGCCCTGAGAGACCCACTGCTAGCTGTTGGAGAGGAAAAACAAAAAGAAACAAGGGACAGAGAAAGAAAATCAGACAATGAATCAGTACTGAACAGTTAATTATGTTTCTACTATGCTGGTAGATTACAATACAGAGTCTTAATTATTCACTGCCAAGACTGTGTTTGGTAGATTTCAGGAAAAGTGCAGAAAATGCTGTTTCAAGTAAAGCACATAACTTATCACTATTCATAATGTGTTCTCAATCTCTACTAGATTTACAGTAGCATTGTGTGAAAGTTGCTTGCTGACACTGCATTCAGTTTATATACAACAGCATTTGGGTAG